GCATTAGCAAGAACAGTGTATGACTCTTGTACATATACATCTCCTGGAAAAAAAGTATGGAATCACCACTCTAGGAGAATGTTCATTCAATGGTTTAATTGTGTAGAAAAAAAAAAACAATCACAGACATGCCACAAAACTATTTTCATTAAGCATTCCAACATTCTGGCTTTAAGAAACACTTAAAAAATAAAAAAGAAAGAAAACTGTAATCAGTTGCAACTGTTCTTGCAGCTCAAGCAGAGGAAAAATATGGAATCACTCAACTCTGAGGAAAATGTTATGGAATCACCATGTATTTTGCAGTTCTAAAACAAACATCTGCATCAGATTGCATCTGCTAAATAATCTGCAGTTAAAAAAGAGTGCTTGCACACCTTGGTGAGCTGTTGCACCAAGCTGATTGACACGAATCATGGCTCCAACAGAAAGATGTCAGTTGAAACAAAGGAGAGGATTATAAAACATCTTCAAGAAGCTAAATCATCATAAAATGTTGCAAAGGATGTTGGTTGTTCCCAGTCAGCTGTGTCTAAAATCTGGACCAAGTCCAAATCAACTGGGAAAGATGTAAAAGGGAAGCGTACTGGTAGACCAAGGAAGACATCAAAGTGTCAAGATAGAAATCTTAAAACAATATGCCTTGAAAACAGAAAATGCACAACAAACAAATGAGGAACAAATGGGCAGAAGCTGGAGTCAATGTCTGCGACCGAACTGTAGGACATCGCCTAAAGGGAATGGGATTTACATACAGAACAGCCAAATGAAAACCATAATTAACCTTTTCCATACTGGGCACTTTTACCCCCTTCCTGCCCAGGCCATTTTTTGGTTTCAGCGCTCTCACACTTTGAATGACAATTGCGCGGTCATACAACACTGTACCCAAACCAAAATTTTATCATTTTCTTCACACAACTAGAGCTTTCTTTTGGTGGTATTTAATCAACACTGGGGTTTTTATTTTTTGCTAAATTAACAAAAAAACACCGAAATTTTTTAAAAATAAACACGTTTTTCTTTGTTTCTGTTATAAAAGTTTGCAAATAAATAACGGTTCTTCATAAATTTAGGCCAAGATGTATTCTGCTACATGTCTTTGGTGAAAATAACCCAAATTAGGATGTATTTTTTAGTTTGTAGGAAAGTTATAGAGTTCACAAATTATGTATCTGAATATTGATCAATCCTGAAGTACTGACAGCCAATCTAATTGCTTGAGGTCCAAGAATGTCAGAACAGTACAGATATCCCCCAAATGACCCCTTTTTGCAGAGTAGACAGTCTGACGTACTTCATAAGAGGAATGGCGAGTTTTTTTAAGTTGTATTTTTTTGTCATAATTTTTTGTAAAATGAAAACATTAAAATAATTATTTTCACTATTTTTTTTTTTACATACTGTCACCAGTGCAGTACAGCGTCATCATATAACTGGCATGGCAGTGATCAGGGACACTGACTGGTGACAATAAAAAAAAATGATATATATTTTTTTTTTATACTATTATTTTTTAATTTTTTATTACTTTTTTTTCTTTTTTTAAGATTTTTTTTTCATATTTCACTATGACCAAAGTAGTACAATGTTACCATAGTTACATTGTACTACTTTGGGGAAGTGATCAAAATTTTTGTTTTTTACACAATTTGCTTATAGCAAAGAATTACTTTGCTATAAGCAAACATTTACCTGAATGACATCGATTCATTCAGGCTTTTTTTAAATTTTTTTATTGTGCTTAGCAGTGATTTGGCCACGGCTAATCACATGACACAGCTGGGCTGTGATTGGCCCAGCTTTTGCATGTGATCGCTGCGACCAATCACAACTAGACACACTAGTATACAATTGTGGCATGAATGAAGCCATCCATTGTATACAACTGTCATGTGACCTGCTGTGATTGGTCACAGCAGGTCACATGGTACCGGCAATGAGGCCGCTACTCAAATCTGTCATCGGCCATGTCCGAGGTACACGGCCAATGACAGATCGCGCCGCTGCGTGGCTCTGCAAGCGCACAAACTGTGCATGCCAAAAGGACGCCATATGGCATCCACCCGGAACGCTAAGGGATTTTGCTGGCTGCCAATTGGCCATTGGCTGGGCGGCTAGAGGTGAACACCTAAACAGAAAAAAACAAGGTTACTGTGGGCTAAAGAAAAGCAATCATGGACTGGGGATGACTGGATGAAAGTGATATTAAGTGATGAATCACGAATCTGCATTGGGCAGGGTGATCATGCTGGAACTTTTGTTTAGTGCCATACCAATAAAATGTATAAAGACGACTGCCTGAAGAAAACATGCAAATTTCCACAATCATTGATGATATGGTGTTGCATGTCAGGTAAAGGTACAGGGGAGATGACAGCCATTACATCTTCAATAAATGCACATGTTTCTATTGAGATTTTGGACACTTTTCTTATTCCATCAATTGAAAGGATGTTTGGTGGTGATGATAACATCATTTTTCAGAATGATAATGCATCTTGCCATAGGGCAACAGCCGTGAAAACTTTCCTTCAAGAAAGACATCTAATGTCAATGCCATGGCCTGCAAGCAGTCCAAACCTCAATCCAACTGAAAATCTATAGTGGAAATTAAAGAAAATGGTCCATGACAAGGTTCCAACCTGCAAAGCTGATCTGGCAACTGCAATAAGAGAAAGTTGGTGCCGGATTGATGAAGAATACTACTTGTCGATACAGTAGATAAATCCATGCCTCAGAGAATTCAAGCTGTTATAGAGGCCAGAGGTAGTGCAATAGAGTACTAGTGGTGTACTGTAGTGGGTTTTTTTCATGATTCCATAATATTTTCCTCAGAATTGAATGATTCCACATTTTTTTTCCTCTGCTTGATCTGCAAATCAGTTGCAACTGACTACAGTTTTCTTTTTTTTTTTCAAGTGTTTTCCTAAAGCCAGAAGGTTGGAATGTTAAATGAAAATAGTTTTGTGGCATGTCTGTGATTAGTTTTTTTTATACACAAATACACAATTGAATGGACATTTTCCAAGAGTGGTGATTCCATACTTTATGCCAGGGATTGTAGAAACAGAATTTTGATTTTAATATGAACTCCCATGGTCTACTTTGAAGGTTTAACCATTTTGTAGACCAACTGAGAACTGCATACATTAAAGTAAAGACCTAATATTCAATATTCTATTCAATTTAAAATTGCTACTGTTGGCACACATCCCAGGCTGTTAGTATAATTACAAATTATATTATTTCAGAGTTATCATAATTTAGTACCTACGGGTGAGAAGTTGAACATAAATTACATTTTACAAAAATCTAAAGCAGCACTAGTTATATCTAATAAACACATTGATGTATATCAGATAGCATGGAATTGTTTGAAAATAAATAATTACTATTTAAAAAATAAGTGCTGTAAGATCTCACATAAAATGTGTCAAAATAAAAAATTGGAATTTTATTTGTAAATGTCACTAAGCAAATATGCACACTTTACTTGCTGTTCTTCCATTTCTAAATTGCTATTGCAATATTTATATACATATTCATATATGTAGTAAATATTATCTTTATGCAGTGCAGTTTTCTTTACCATACAAATATCTATTTCATTAATAATATTTATTGTACTGTATTAATATCTCGGCAGTAATTAGCACTAAGGAGAATGCATGCTGACAATGCAAATGTACATAATTTGGTACTAACTACATATTTTAGAATTTAAGGTCCATTTCATGTATACTTAATATAAGCAGTTTTATTTATATAGGGTGGAAGTAGTGAAGGCATTTTAATTTAGATGATCTTTTTTTGGCTATTTTGACTACTGTGAAAACGATATGCCGTATTTCACTAGAAATTGCAGCCTTGTGTTATAAAATGTAGGATATAAAAGCATCACAGATCTAATATGTTTAATGACTGATTGTGGTTTATAACTGCTGCATAGCAGTCAGAATATCAATATCTTACATTTGGCTGGCAGGTTTATCTAGATACAGTTGCATATTTTTACAGAATTGTGGTCAGTCAAATCTAGAATTAGGTTCTAATGGGAAATCTAAATGGGATGATCCTGTATAATTACAAAATGTACCTTGCTTGACGTGGTCAATAAGGACTGGTTACTGCTGCCCACAACAATTACTCCTTGTTCATTGCAATACTTGTGGGTAGCAAAGCAGTACAGTTTCAATACAGTTTCCCAGCTGTTGTTAGGTACTTACTATGGAATTTTCATATATGCATCTTTATAGCTGTCTTTTTTAATTGTGTATGTTTGTTTTGCTTGTTGTCAATAACAATTTCATATGGATAATATATATATTTTTTTTTAATCTGTGAAATTAAAAAAATTGATTGGGGTTCATTTAGAATATATGATAGCCCTGTAGCGTAAGTGATTTATAACAGGTACACATTACTTATATCAGAAACTCTGCGGTTTCTTGTGTATGTTACTCATACAGTAGAAATTTAAAAAATACATATTTTTTTAACCCACTTGTCTTCCAGCAACATTTTAAATACCAGCTGGTAGCACAGATGCTTAAGCACACCTCTAATTGCTACATTTAAAAACTGTTTAACCACTAGCCTACAGGGCACTTATACACCCTTCCTGCTCAGGCCAATTTGCAGCTTTCAGCGCTGTTTCACTTTGAATGACATTTGCGCGGTCATGCAACACTGTACCCATATGACATTTTTATCATTTTTTGTGACAGATAGAGCTTTATTTTGGTGGTATTTAATCACCTCTGGGTTTTTTATTTTTTCCTAAACAAACCAAAAACCACTGAAACTTTTGAAAAAAAAATGTTTTTTCTTAGTTTTTGTTATAAAATTTTGTAAATAAGTGATTTTTCTCCTTCACTGATGTGCGCTAAGGAGGCTGCACTGATGGGCACTGATAGGCTGCACTGATGGACACTGATAGGTGGCACTGATGGGCACTGATGAGGAGGCACTGGTAGGTGGCACTGATGGGCATTGACAGGCATCATTGATGGGCACTGAAAGGCAGCACTCATATATGGCACTGATAGACGGCACTGATAGGTGGCACTGGCTGACACTGATAGGCGGCACTGACTGGCACTGTTAGGTGGCACTGACTGGCACTGTTAGGCAACACTGCTAAGCAGCACTGATGGGCACTGATAGGTGGCACTGATGCACACTGATAGGTGGCACTGATAGGCAGCACTGACTGGCACTGAGAGGTGGCACTGATTGGCAGCACTGATAAGTAATGATATGTGGCATTGATGTGGCACTGATGGGCACTGAAATGTGGCACTGGCAGGTGGCATGGTTGAGCACTGAGAGCTGGCACTGATGGACACTGAGAGGTGGCGCTGCTGGGGCTACACAGATCATCAGGGCACACTAATCATCAGTGCTCTGATGACCTGTGTACATGTCCCCTCCAAGGAATGCCGATTACCGGCTCTCCTCTCTTCACGAGCTGTCAGCGTGACAGCTCGTGGGGAGAGAAATGCCTGATAATCGGCATGTCCCTGTTTACATGTGATTGGACACAGCTGATCACAAAACCGAGCCGACATCTTCGGCTCTTTCCGTGGATCGGTGATCCGCTGTGTCTGAGGGACACAGCGCACCACCGATCACCGCACTGAGTGCTCTGGGAGCCGCGCATGTGTGGTTAGAATGGGAGGACGTCATATGACGTCCTCCCAGTACGGGAGAACCGCCTTGCGTGTGTCATTTTACTATATGGCGGGCGGGAGGCGGTTAATTGTGAAACTATGCAGAGGTGGGAATTTTTTAAATGTGTGTATATATATATATATATATATATATATATATATATATAGTGACAGTAGGCAGGTGAAATCACCTGGTTGCATCCTGGATGGACGATACATTTGTCCAAGGTTCAGACTCTATGGGGATTTGTTCCACTAGAGGGAAGTGCTGAGTCCTTCAGCACTGAGGTAATGAGCCCAGCTGAAGGTAGTGGGCTCATTAAGGCCATTATAAAACTTCCCAGCTTGCTTAGGGAGTTGCTCCAACCTGGAACCAGATCTATGCCTGAACTGACTGGGGAGCAAACATCTTATCTGTGTGCAGGGAGACAAAAGCCTGTGTGGCTAGCCTCCAACTACTAGCAACTAGGTATAGCATCAGGCTGTACCTAGTGGGTAGCTAGGAAAAGCTGTTGGTACAGTAAGTAGCCAAGTTGGCCAGGATTTAATTTGATGTATCTTTTTAGTTTGACATTTTTTGTACATATTGTAAATAAACTGCACTTTTTTGTTTTTTCACCTCCACTGTTGTTGTGCTGTGCCTGTCTTTTTGTGTTATGCACCCATCCAGGGGGTCACACACACACCCACTGCCGAGCTAACCCTGTTACAATATATATATATACAGTGCTCAGCATAACTGTCCAAAACTGTGACAAAACAGTTTTATAGAACATTTGTTTAGCTCATTACATGAAAGTAAGGTTAACAACAAAGCTTATATTACAAAATCTTCAATTTTACTCAAATTAGTTGATGTACAAATGAATACACTCCACAACAAAAACTACTACATTAGTATTTTGTATGACCTTCATGATTTGTAAGGACAGCACCAAGTTTTCTAGACATGGAATGAACAAGTTGGCAACATATTGCAATATCTATCTTTTTCCATTCTTCAGGAACGATGTCTTTCAGAGCCTGGATGTTGGATAGAGAGTGACGCTCAGCTTGTGTCTTCAGAACTTCCCATAGGTGTTAGATTGGTTTCAGATCAGGAGACATACTTTGCCACTGAATCACTTTCACCCTGTTCTTCTTCAGAAATGAGTGATGGTAGCATCTTCTCTTTCATTATAGAATACTATATCTGTGAATTCATTATACCATCAATGAAATGCAGCTTCCCGACACCAGCAGTACTCATGACACTTCTACCACCATGTTTCACTGTAGGCACCGTGTATTTTTCTTTGTACTTTTCACCTTTGCAACGTCATACAAGGCCATCAGTTCCAAAAACATTTATCTTGGTCTCATCACTCCAGATTACAGAGTCCCAGTAGTTTTCTTCTTTTTCATCATGGGCCCTAGCAAATTCTAGGTGGGTTTTTTGTGCATGAGCTTTAGGAGAGGCTTCCTTCGTGGATGACACCCATGCATGTCATTCCTCTGCAGTGTATGCCGTATTGTGTCACAGGAAACAGTCACTCCAGTTTGGGTATCTACTTCTTTAGCTAACTTCAGTGAACTTGCATGGCAATTTTCTTCAACCCTTCTCATCACAAGATGTTCCTGTTCAAGTGTTAACTTCCGTGGACAGCCTGGATGTCTCTGTGAGATGGCTGCAGTTCCATCTTTGTTAAAATAATGTATCGCTTTGCTGATTTAAAGAAATTATTTTCTTTCTCAGGCCTTCTGACATTTCTCTTCCATGTGGTGCCATTGCGTACAGCATGAAATGGGGAGGGGTTTTCTTTGTTAAGTAACACCCTTTTATAATCAACTGTCTGTTGAACAACTGTTTAATGGATAATTAGACTCACCTGTAGTCGACTTCTTGTTAATTAGGATTTTGTAGTCTAAAATTTAGCTTTGCTCCTAAGACTTTCACTGGGGTATACTCATTTTTGCAACATGGTCTTGAATGAACTTGTTAGGAAATGTGTGCAAATGAACAAAACTTGTTTGGAATCAATGGCCCACAATTGTGGGAGTATTTTGTAGTATAGTGTCCTATAGAAAATGTTGATTCTGAAAGGAAAGTAAAGGTTTTCTGACAAATCTGTTAAGGTGTACAAATTTATGCTGTGCACTGTATATATATATATATATATTTCGAGATACAATTGTGAATCTCCATTTTTCAATTAACTTTAAGTAGTTCATTTGGACCAAGCTTGCACAAACAGACTATTTACTTCACTAATGCCCTGTTTACATACAGTGTGGTGAGCTGCATTTTGCCACACATGAAGAACACCACTAGGACACACAGAAAACAATTGTTTCTATGTATCCTATTCACACTGCAATGCACCCAGGAGGTGCAGTGTAGTGAATTGTGATAAAATGCAGACATGATGCATTTTATCACAACGCACTGGTCAGGATCGCATGACATGAAATAAGTGTCACTTTTGTGCACTTCAATAAAGATTGTACAAAAAAAAAGAAAATGGACCTGTGTGGTGCACTGAAATGTGTACCACACTTCCCCCTACTGCCAGTTCACCTCCACCAGAATGGACAGCTGCCGGACACTAAACCATCGTGGTTTAGTGTCCATCAACTGTCTGTTGCTGATGGTTGTAGCAGCTGTGTGTGCTGTATAAACTGTATGTAGTCTCAGCTGTATACAGTATACAGAGTTGTGTTCTTGCAGCTCGATTAGAACTTCCAATCCCGCTCTCAGAAAAAAAATCGAGTTAAGCGGAGAGCTACTCAGTCATTCAGAGGAAGCTTTGTATTGACTCATAGAATACAAAGCGTCCTCTGAATGACTGAGCAACGCTCAGCCTATATTGCTTCTTTTCTGGGATCAGGATGGGAAGTTCTCCCACCGTTGCTGGAACACAGTGCTGTATACTGTATATAGCTAAGGCTACATACAGTATATACAGTGCACACAGCGACTGCATATTTTGTTGATGTAAACAGTTTGTCTGGTCCAACTTGGCCCAAACTGACTGTTTAAAGTAAACCTGGAGATCAGATTTAATCATCTGTGGTAGTCACATACAGTAAATAGGTGTTGGGTCAGATTTTTGTTCTAATGCTATATTTATCCTTTGACTCCAGATGTGACTTGGGGTGTTGACCTATGGGGTATTTTGAAGAACTGGGAATTGGTGCACAAGGTGCCAAATCAGAATATGATTCATTCCAATATAAAAGTTGCCAGTCAAAGAAATCTTCACACACTTCCTCTTGCTGATCAGTAGAGAAGACGATAAACTCATAAATGTTTAAGAAGCATACACATTGTCACAACATTTTAAGTCAGTTTAGGACCAGTAAATCAAGAAAAAGTTCTGTATACAAAGGGATAATCCTAACACAATGATGGAACAGGCTCTGGTGCTGAAAATCTGGCCCCCATTAGGATCCCATAATTGGTAGTTTTTATAGTTTAGCAAATTCACAGGTTAAACTTGAATACACGGGTAGAAAAGTAAAATGTAAAAATGTGATACCTTTTAGTGCTAAAGAATTTTCTTCTCTACCAATGTAATTATTCTGGGTCAGCATCGTATATCAATTTTTTGCCTTCTAGTAAACATAAAAAAAATGTAGCTGCAAAATAGGCTAAAAATAAAGTAGATCATTGTTAGTTATTTAAGTCTAATTGAAGAATTAGACTTAAATAAGTCTCCCATATTCTGTATTATTTTCCTGTATTCTGTGTGTATGCATTCCTTGGAGACTGATAGAAATTATGACACAAGTATCATTTCCTGTTATCCTTTATCACTGACCTTTAGGTGATAGTTAATGACACTGCGTCAGTGCTAAAATGTATAGTACACAGATTATCTGCCCATTACAGCTCCTATATTAGAAGGTCACTATGTTATAGATGGTCATCATTCTTTTTATTGCTCTGCAGTCCATCTTCTTTCACAGCATGCCTCTGGCTTGTCTCCCACAATCACCAAGTGTTTGCATGTAGAATGATTTCTTACATCACTTCAAATGCATAAGGGTGACAACAAGCACCTCACTGCCACTTATTCTTCCCTTATGTTACTGAAGTTTTTATCATTTTTTATCTATCATTTTAAACCTGCTTTGTCCTTTACGTCCACATATTCTCTTCTTAAGGGCTAAAAGTATGTACGGTAAAATAAAATTGCTATATTTCTTCAAAAGGGGGATAATGATAACAATGCAATCTATAGTCAGATATGATGACCCCTAGGGAGTCAATCCATTATCTCCTACCTTACAAATGGGATTTGTAAAATTAATAAAAGCGATTGCATACATATTGCATACACATTTGCTTTACTGAAACATGTCAATGCACAACAAAGTCCAGATGCAAAAGCTTAGCTGAGGGCCCATTCACACAAGGTGTTATATTCACACATGCTTGGTAATGCTTTTTTATGTACTAAGGCAGTGCATTCATTTTGGAAAAAAAAAAGGCAGTAACCAGCTTCATTTGTAAAAGCTTAATTGACCAAGCTAAAGCTAGAAGCTGATTGGTTTCTATATGCTTTCATTAATCATGGATGAGGAGTGATAATTATAATTATTGTTGTTGAGCAAGAGTTCGCTAGTCGATATGGAATGACAAAGAAATTAATTTTCCCACAGCAACAAGTTCAATGGTTCATTTCTAAAAAGATACATTTATTGG